CTAGAAACTTTATCTTTGTGAATAATTTGCTACACAACTCCATTCTTCTTGTGTGAAATGATACACACCCGGTAGTAGCTAAGGCCTATTGGTAGTGCAGCGCTGGAAAGATGATGCGTAGCGCCCGTTTCTGCACTCGCTCGATGCTATCTGATAGTTTGATGGGGATGGCATTATGCCACACAGGACAACAGTATTCAAGGACAGACCTAATGAGCGCAAAATAAACCTTAAGTAGGTCGGCAGGTGGTACTCCGCCGCGTTTGAGGACACGAAGCATATGCAGCCTCTTTGACGCCTTAGCCACAACCTCATTAATGTGCAAATCCCATTTGAGATTACTTTAGATTGTAACGCCCGATACTTTATGAGCATCGACTGACTCAAGGGCCTTAGTGTCTATGCCCAAGGCTGATGGAAGATGGTCCACGACTCTACGAAAACGTCAAGTCATCTTCTTCCACTTAAAAACAATAACATTCTACTGTACCGCAAAAAAAAACTTGTGTAACTTGAGGTCTTATTATTTGAAAAGCTGACATCGAATCTCATGAGTAATACTTAATTCACCTGCTACTTTTTATTCACCTTCCTTAAAAATCGAGCCCATCCTCGATATATAATTTTGAAAAAAAAAATAAAACATATGAGACTTTAAAATGCATCTCCATTCACCTATTAATAGTAACCAACTGCAGCATTGAATTTGCTTTTTATTCAAAATAGGATTTTTTTCTAGAACTGAACAAAAAAATAACAATATTGATTCTGATTTTATTAGGGATAATGAATATCCTAAAATTTAGGATAAAGAGGAGAAAACATTGATACAGCGTTAAGCACTCCTTTGAAAATTTTGTTCTGTTCTATCTTCCATTTTCGGCACAACTTTTTGTTGATGTAAAAAGTTGCTTTATTAAAAAGGAAAACTGATATTACTGAGCGGAGGGCCCCTGGCTAAGTCGACCGGGAGCGAAGTGACTGGTGGCCGAAGTGTTTATTTTGAAAATTTAGTTTAGAAAGCCAATTTTGATGATCAATTTACTCTGCTATATGAATCTAATATTCTACCCACAACTAATTCATTTTACTAATGGCAACATTAAGCATTGTCTTTGTTATTAAATATTAATGAATATCAAATTGTCACCATCGAAACACTCAAGACGAATTCCGTTATCTGGGAAACCCCTTAATCTTCAGGCACGCAATTCAACTACTTTGGGGGAAAAGGTTCAAGAAACTCACTACCGCCGCCGCGACTCCTAAAAACTGGTGAGGATTCGTTTTCTTCCTTTTTTCAGCCTTTTTTTCTCTTGCATATTTTAGCGAACTAGAGCGAATCTGCATCTTCATAGTGTCCCAAAGGAGGACAGCATCTACATCGTCATTGTTTCTGTTCTCTATTGCAACTTCATCAGTAGTTTTTTAAATTAACTCAATAAACTCGCTGTCCAACAGAAAAGACGTATTGAGTTTCCAGAAACCCGGGCCTCTGGGCTTATTATTACTAGCAAGGTGGATTGTAATTAGGGAATGATCGATCTTAATAACCCTGTAAAATTTGTGCATTTGTGATTGCTGTGGTTAAGCTTAAACTGATCATAAAATAGTCCAGACGACAGTGCACTTCAGGTTTAGTTCTCCGCCAGGTAAAAACGCTTATAGTCTAGATTTAGGGTTCGCCACACATTTATCAGGTGCAGCGAGTTCGCTATGTTCTGGACTTCTTAAAGCGATTTTCTCCTTTTTTGTCCCTCTGAACGTCCATGACCAGATTAAAGTCCCCTCCCATAATAATTTCTTCACATTCAAAGGAGAGGAGATCATCGAGAAGATTTTGGAAAAAGAATTAGGATTGTCATTGTACGGTGAATAAATGTTACCAAAGTTAAAATCTTGTTATCTATTTTCATATCTATGATATTAAATCTTCCTTCTCGATCAGATTATTGCCTGATTATTTAAAATTGAAAGTTATTGTTAAATAATATACAGACTCCGGCGCTTATCTTAACTGAACACTATTTTTTAATGGCATTTTCATAGATGGTAAAAAAATGGCACATAAAAAGAATGAAAACGAATTTTACGACTTTTAGGGAAAGGTGTGGTTTAGTAAAACACTATGCTTTGCCCAAGCAAGTTAGTTCTCTAGCAAAACAGGTGATTCGAGAAAGCTGTTCACAATAAGTATAAGAAGAGGCTTCAGTGTGGATTAAGAGCAATTACGAATGCTAAAAAATTAAAAGAGAGAGAGAGATTAAAACGAGTTACACAAGTAACAATAACGAAATGAAAGTTTGATTTGCGTTGTTTTTAGTTAAAGGGAAACGTCTTGTAAAAGTTAACTATTTAGACTGTGATGCAATCCCTATGCTTCATCAAATATTTTCAGAAATTCGAAATGCATTAAATATATCAATACAAAAGAGAAAATGCAATTTGCAACGGACATGCACAGTCTTTTCGAAAGAGATATAACATTCCACTGTAATTTAAAAAAGTGTTTGTGTTTCTTGAGGTCCTGTTATTTGCAAACGTGACATCGAATCTCATGACCAATGGCTTAACTCACCTGCTTATTTCTATTCACGTTCCTTTAAAACTGAGCCCATCTAAGCAAGAAAGAAAAAAGAAATGGATCAATAAGCCAAATTAAGAAAACGCAAGTGTGCAAAAAAGCTCCAGATTTTCTTTTAATGCTGCAACTTTAAAAAAGAGCCTCATTTAACTAAGTCAATTTCAGAATAACTTTTTAAACGCAACAGAATCTGATCCAGGAGCTTGCGATATTT